CCTCACAAGAGCGTTCTTCGTCAGTCTGTATGTCACTAGTTTTAGGCACCTCTTCTAACTCCCAAAACCGTCGTAACTGAGTGTCAATAGATTGAGTGAAGTTACATTGGACAGACGTATTGATATTGTGCGTGTTAAACTCAATAGGCCCTGAAATAATCCAACCTAACCTTGTATTTTGTAAAAAGGGTCCATTGGGTAATCTCATTTTACCCTCGCATAATAAGTCCCAAAATAAGTCTGCGCCTATTAAAATATCAATATTTTGAGATTCATAATATTGTGGATCAGCCAGCTGTATATAGTCAGGTATCATAAACGACTGCGCGCGTTGACTATACATAGCAGTAGGTAGCGTAGATGTAATGTGCGGCAACACAAAACATTTAATGCGTGCGGAGTAATTGTCAATGCGTGATTTGATCTCGATATCACATATCTGTGATGACGTTGTTACTGTGTTGCCGACACCTCGAATTTCGCAAGTGGACTGTATTAAATTTATATTAATTAAATCGCATAGTGGTTTAGAAATAAAACAATGTTGACTACCACAGTCGAGAAGCGCGCGTGCTAAGTGAAACTTATTGTACCTATCGGCTATCTCGACTATAGCTGTAGACAATAAAACGGGTCGCATAGTAGATTGTTTGTGAATTAAATTAAAATTATCTATGTGTGTACTGTTTACTCGAGACGAATGAATTTGCGCGGGGATGGACTGCGCGGGCGGTGCGACGGTCGCGGGGGTCATTTGACTAGAACCCGGGGTTTCGTTGTCGGCTAGATGCATTGATACGACCGCTACTCGATCAGTCACGTTATTATGAATAAGCGTGTTGTGTTTTTTAAAACACAGTCTGCAAGGTCCAAATTTGCACATACTAACTGAATGCCCTGGACGTAAACAGTTCTCACATAATTTATTTGCGGTTATAAATTGCAGTTTAGCGTCTAAGTTAGTGTCCAAAAATGTTTGACATGAATAAAGTGGATGATCGGCGTTACACATTAAACACGATTTCTTAGTAGACGTGATTCGACCTTGCTGTGACTTATTGGTGGAAACATTGCAGTGCACTTTATGATGTGATGTTTTATGTGACGGATAATGTGACGATTGTTGTAAAGTCGCGTTTTGAGTTTTAACGTCACTGTTAACTCTGTGTGAAACTAGCAATGTTTCCAACATGTCAGCCTTGTCTCTAAGGAACATGAGTAAATCATCTACCTTCAGTGAAGAAATATCATTAATATATTTTCGTGTGGTGCATTTAAATTGTTCCCATTCACGTTCGGTGGTTTCATCTAACTTAGACGTTATAATAAATATAATTAACGTATCCCAGTACTCAGTAGGCTCACCTAATATTTTTAATGCGCGTAAATTTCTAAGAATAATATCTGTCAGTTTTCTGAGTGCATGTGGTGATTCCTTAGAAAGTTTTTGAATAGTGAATAAGGCCTTAACGTGGTTATGCACCAACAGACTGCTATTGTTGTATCTGTTGAGAAGTAGTTCCCATGCTACCACATAGTTACTAGCAGAGAATTCTAAGGAATCGATAACTAACTCCGCGCTTCCCTTTAGTGACGATTTTAGGTAGTGGAATTTCTGTATATCGCTAATTTCATCGGAATTGTGTACTAGAGATAGAAAAATGTCTCTGTATTCGATCCAATGCTCATACGTTCCATCATATACAGGTAGGGAGATGGTCGGAAGTTTTATAGACTGTGACGCCCTATTACTGCCCTTACTGGACGCACTAGTGACCTCTACCGATTTGAGCAAACATTCAGCTTGAGCTAGTGCATGATAATAGCAATCTTCAAACAATTCTCGTTGCGTCAGCTGTGAATCTAAATCTGAATCTCGTACAATTTTTTCGATTTTTGTTTGAACATCGCTAAATTCTGCAAATAAGCTTGTAATACCTTGCATGCGTAATTTTATATCGGCGCATTTTTGATTAGTTAATTGTTCGAGGGTAATATCACTAACGGCATTAGAAAATTTAGTAAGCCTGCTTTTTAATATGCCACGCGTCTTGACTAGATCCTTTAGCAATTCATTATCGTTTTCATTATTAGCGACTAGCCTATTAGGGGATCTTTCACGATTTATTTTAACACTAGCCTCATTTATACTCATTTTGGCAAATTATGAAGGTACTTACGTTTGATTCTTGGTCTGTAAGATCAGCCTGTGCTAGCTGCGACACAAAGCTGCTTCTTATTGCTGAACACAAGAATTGTAACGTGACTAAAGGCACGGTGTGACACAATTGAAGCGAAGGAGATGGGGTTAGGGAGGATGGCAGACCGTTCCGGAATGCGTTTATGGACGATTGCTGTCTGCTGCTGCTCCTCCGACGCCTTAACCTCGATCCTTACTAGATGTCTTCTCACTTCTCGTAGTCCAAAACTTGTGCGATGAATTGGCATACGATGAGTCCAATGGTCGCTGACTCGTACTTTGCGTATTATTATTCGGCAACGAAGGTCCAAAACACGTATGTTTGCGCTTGAAGGTGAGAAGCTCTTGGTTGAAATGAAATGCTTGTCCGTGCCTCAAGTTTTATAATAAATTAAAATAAATACAAAAGTGCGTGTAGTTCTATCCGTTAACAAAATTTGAATGTTTGACCTTCTAGCGGTTAAACGGTCTATATCTATGGTTCTAATATTGCAAGTACGAAAAATTTACTTTTTATTAAAACGTCTATACTGCCAAATCTTGAACAAGCTTATATATAGAATATTCATCAACTTATAAAAAAAGTTTATATAACCTTGAGTTGTAAGTACTGTTGATAAAATATGACAAGGGAAATCCTACTAGGTACTATTATGTACTTGATACCAACTTCTGTCATTTTTATCCCTCAGTTCGTTTAAGTATCTTTTATCCTTGAGAACGTGTTAGTTTATCATATCTTAAACATACACGCATTCTCGTACATTTATTTATGTTCAATATTAGAATGTACAAGACTACAGAGTATGTATTATATGTATGTATGTATTATTATATATTATACCTCATATTGTTTATGTTTACTTACATTTGCATCACATTTAAGAGACTTCAAAAAGGCGAGGTACCTACTAAATTCACCCGTATTTTTTTGTGTCTGTTACGCAATATCTATGCTAATTTTGGACCGCATTTTCAATACACATCGGCGTACATAATTATTGTAATGTTGGGTTTTTAGCTGTTTTTGCACTTAATATTATACATATTATAAAGAAATATTTTTTTACTAGTTTTTACACGTAACATCGTCTGTGACCGGATATGTTCACTGGCCAGGATAAAAAGATATGTAGCCCTTTTCATACATATAAAATTTTATAGTATTTGGTTAAGTCGCTAAGACGTTAAAAGGCTAAATAAACTTTCACGCATATATTATTAATAAGGATTTATCGGCGCGTTTTAATTAACACAAATTTTAGTAAGAACATGTTGATATAATCGTATACAAGCTATGAAAATCTAGTATAAACAGTATTATATAAATAATAAGAAAAGAGTACCATAACGGAAAGGAAATACGTACTCGTAGTTGGCATCCGTTAACATATATGACATCAATAGTAGAAGTCTGCATTTGAGATCTTGTTAGCAATTGTGAGCCAGAGGGTAAACGCCCGGAATGGGTTCTCGAAAGTCGGATATTGGAATATGAAATCAGGTGTAGGTGTGTCATTTGAGAGTTATGGAATAAATGAAAATTTATGAGCATTTATCAATCATTATTGGTAAAAGTTTCGTAAGCACAAATTTTGATGTAACAACTACCGGTTTAACTTACGTGTAATTAAATCGAAAAAGTTCAATTAGTATCAAGCTGGCTCGTGCCCGCGTCACAGTTACTCATGACAAAGGATCAGGAATTGATCCCGAAACTAGTCTATCTTTTTCGATCTAATTACATGTAAGTTAAACCAGTAGTTATTACATTAAAAATTTTAGCAATTAGTTTCAATATTTACATCCTTAAATGTAAAAGCGAAAATAACTCATTATTATAATTCATTATTTGTGTTATGACATTTTTATTGCAACTTAGAACGGCAAATAAGCTGACGGCCCATCCGATGGAAAATGGTAACCGTCGCCTATAGACATGTGCAGAAATGACATGATTTTTTGAGGCAACTACATTATTTTTACAAAGTTATAATAAGTTTTTTTTTTAAAGTTATACCAAAACAAAGCACACAATTTTTCAGAGTTAAAAATAATTATTATAATATTTTGATATTAGTATAATACTCTAGTCATACACACACATTGATAAATCGTGTAAGTCTAACGTGCAATTTATCTTAGAAATCCATTTACACTAAAATAAAAAAGTTGTACTGTTTTTGGCGATGCATTTATAGAGAGGTAACTTATTTATTTATGTTCATTTATGTTGATGATATACAACTTACATGTATTTATTTTTATTTATTTACACTTTATTGCATCGGTTATAAAAATAGAGACCTACCAATTTGGAACATAAAGTGTACATTTATACATACATTATAATGCAAATTATCTAAAATGTGTATAGCAAATAATTTCAGGTGAAGACGTGTTGATTTGAGAATACGCGTTCACTCGTTTGCGCCGAACAGCCTTCGATGAGGACGTACGTTTCTATGTACTTGTTGTATGTGCACAGAAGCATGTACAGGGGAAGTCTTAAATTAAGGAAATCTTATTAGGAAATTCCGACGTGTGTCGTCACCTAAAAGCTGGAGCGAGGGTTGCATGCGGGACTAATGAACGTGCTCAAAATTTATAACGCCTTTAACCTTTTAGTTATTTTGTAAGAAGTAAATTTTACCTCAAATACATTCCCTGTAATGACCAGTATATTTATATTTATCTATTCGGAATTAATCAACTTGGAAATATTAGCATAATATTAAATTAAATATCCTGAATATGACAATTCGGTGAAAAGGTGGAGCGACTTAAAAAAGAAATATGAAAAAAAAAAATCTATTTTATTAATACTTATATTCTAGTTCATTATAAAAATAATACTATTAAGAATCAACCAAAAAACATTACTTAACGCAAGTACTTTACTCGCATTTTCAATAGAAATTATTTATTGTGTCAATAAATTATCTACTCTTCCACATTCTTCAGATTAGACTAAGGTATAAATAATATAATATTAGAGTTAGGTGGGATGCACTAATGACGCCACTATAAATAATTATGTAGATAATAAATACTTAGCAGTCTATATATTACTTATAAACATATTGTGGATAAACAACATATTAATACAGCTTAAATACTCAAGATGTACTCAAAATCAGCGATTTAAGAGAGACACTTGAAATAGAGTACAATAAATTGTGCATTCACCAGTAGTAACTTTGTAGTAACCTAAATATATCCTAAGGTTCTTACAAATATTATAAAATATAACGTGGAAACAGAGAGTTTTATATTTAGAACAAATATTTGATTTTACCCATACCTTGTTCTATCTAACAACGTATTTTTTATTTCAATTCGGTACAGTTGCAATTTTTATTTAGATAATTTTCTTAATACGTATTCTAAAATATGAAGTATTTTATGTACATCATTATATGTTAATTATAAGAATATCTAGATAGAGTTATGTCCGTATTTTTGTTGAGAGAGCTCGACTAGTTTTACAATTATCCAGAATAAATACAGATAAAACAAACCATATGTTTTTACAATTTAAGCTTAAAACTAGCTTACAACTTTTTGAAAAATCCCATGAAAGACTGTGAGTATTAATAAAGCCATAAATCCAGGTTTGACACTCGGTGCGGAGTCTGTAACGCTTTGTATCCATTTTGTATAATTTGAGACTCTGGTGTATATTTCTGGCCGTACATTATTTTCGCTCATACAGTCATTTGGCAGAAATGAGATTCCAGTAAGGACGCCGCCACAAACTAATGCACTACCTTGATCTCCCTGGAATAAAATATAAAGAAAATCAATATATTTCTTCTATGTCTGTTTTTACAATGGCAATTCTCCCGATGCAAAGAGATAAAACTCGCCTATATAATAACACCATGGACAATATAGACTATACAAATCCCTTTAATAGGGTTAATTTTTTTATGAAAATAAACCTTGAAGTTTAATTGTACTTTGCATGCTCTAATTTTACTATTCCATTATTAATGTGTTCTGTTTTTGTGTGTAATTTTTTTATATTCTGCATAAAGCAATTAGTACTTGTAACTATTCTATTGGATTTTCGAAGCCTGTATGACGCAAAGATGCAAAGAAGTTTGTTCTTATTAGTTTAAGTACACCTATCCAGATTTTATTAATTTAATTATATTTATTTAAGTTTTTGCACAAACAAAAATATTTTCTCCCTAAATAGACAGCACAAAATAAACTCTCTACAACATTCGACGAGTTATGAAGTAAATGAAGGCAGAAGTTAATAAGGATAAAGGACTTCAACACATGATTCTCTCTGCCTACCCTGTATGGAGCTTGGTAGGATAATAGATAAACAGTGATACTAACCATGCAACCTCCAGTAACTATATCTTCACTGGTCGTGCAAACCATGGTAGGTAAAATTCTTTCCACATGTTCTAGGTCATTGAACACTGATGCACACAAATTTTGATTGTAAATATATTTGTTGATAAATTGCAATTGGGTAGAAGGCATCTGAAAATAATAAGAAAAAAAATAAATACTTATGTAAAACGTAATTTTTATATAATTTTTATATTTAATAATTTAAAGTATGTTGAAATATTAGAATAATAAGCAAGAAGCAAGAATTGAAATTATGTGAACTATATATATCAGCAGTATCATATAGATTATTAGTATATCTCCATATATCTTTCTATCTTTTGAAATATAGATTTTAGAAAATATGCACTCTTTTGACATTGGACTGCCAAATAAGAAGAGAGTCATCATACTTATGACATGATAGTTCATTAATTTCACATAGGATTATGCATTTACAGTCAAGGAACGAAATTCTCTCTTAATGTTTTTTTCTCTTGTCTCATACAATCTTACTACAAAAATAATTTATATCACTATCCATGTAAACAAAGTTTAATAAAACTTTCTCTCAGTGAATAAATTTAATTTAAACGGTGTAATAAAGTTATTTGTAATTTTATGTACTGGTACAAACAATTATCATCTATAAACTATTATAATTTATTACTTTAAATATCTTTTATTTTTAATACCATAGACACCAGAGCGAGACTTTGTACAAAAGTCGATTGCTTCGGTACCTCTGTCCCATTCATGTTTCAGCCGTGAAGCAGTTGTGTTTGCATGGCTATTTCGGTTTGAAGGATGGGATATGGCGTGAATTTACTGGGTACAGAGGAATAACACCTGAGTCCTCAGGAATGGCAACGCATGGGGGGTATCATGGGCGAAACAGAATACTCTGTTATGTCCATGGTACTGCTCATGTCTATAGACGACGGTTACCACATCCCATCAGGGCCGTCAGCTTGTTTGCTATTCTAAGTTGTATAAAAAAAAAACTTTCTTTTGTTAAACAGAATGTAAGATACGCTTTTGTAGTAAGATGACTAAACATGTATTCAACATCTATCTATCACAAGTTAAACTTTTATGTAGTAAGACAGATTATAATGGTGATTTATTAAGGTAAAACTAAAGAGGTCATTCAAAGGTATGCAAAATCTGTTTAGTTTTAAGTCATTCTTTTTAATAATAAAAAAAAGTTGGTTAAGTGCGATTTGGATTCGCGCAACGAGGGTTTCGTACAAAATCATCAAGTCTAAAAAAAATTTAATTTGTGAAATAACTACAATGTTATAGTTTTCGGATTTTTTACTTTACTTGTGCTACATGACATTGCTTCTTGCCAAATTTTATGATTCTTGGTTAACGGAAAGTACCCTATAAGTTTTAATTCCTATTGCGAATGTCAAATTGTTTCAATAAATTGTATCTTTTGATTGTGTCAATTTAGAAGCTTGATTTTTTTCACTCCTTTAAGAGATTCCAAGCTTGAGTATATGATATTAACTTTAACTTGATACCTTCACGCGTTCCTAAGAAAAAGGGTTTTGACAGACGGACGGGCGGACGAATGGACAACGAAGTGATTCTATAAGGATTCCGTTTTTTCCTTAGGAGATACGGAACTCTAAAAAATATATATGTTGTTAGTTTAGTACATACAGATGATGTGTTAGTTCTTGCACCCCACCCAGCGACTGTGCATACAGTAAAATCAGTTGGTACGTAATCTGAAGGCGGCAGTGCCAGTGGAGTTACAACTGCTTCTGGGAACGGACTTATTAACTGAAAATAAAAAAAAAATACTAAAATTAATAATTATGTTTACGAGTATACTATGAAGAAGCTGTGGTTGTATTGCAATGTTTCCTTCTGAATGATATATGGCAGTTTTTTGGCATCAACATCATTATCATAACATCAGGCGTAAACTGTCTACTGTTAAGCATAAGCTTTCCCTAAGGAGGGAGAAGGTAGGTTTTTTCAGTAGTTGCCACATTTAGCAGTTAAGCTTTGGTGACGTTTTTTTAAGGGGGACGCTGCTGTCCATCCCTCGAAAATTACCTTAGTCGCCTCCTACGATCCTACAAGTACAGGAAAGAAGGGGTAGCCCCTTCTATGTTAAAACCACACGGCAGGAGTGTAAATTTGTCTATACTTAATTAATTGCAAACTGTGTTGGTATACAGTCTATTATGTGGTCATAATAGTTCAAGGATGTCTAATTCAGAAAGGCAGCTCAATCAGGCATCGTGACAGAGATTGACTGATTCCTTTGTGATAGTAATCGCTTTGTTTTGATTTGCTTATACAAATAAATACTATGCAAATACTAATGTTTGGGGCTACATTTTGGTTTAGTCTAATAGGATTGAGAAGATGACAGATGCCTGAATTAATTAAGAGTTATGTCGTACATAGTTTATTATTAAACAATATTTACATTAAAGAATAATAAATTAATATAATAAGAATATAACAAGATATTGTATCGAACTGAGAATAACTTTCATAGCTAACGGCTTTTATAAACGATATATAATTTTTCTTGATTCTTTGATTTACCTGCATTTAGAGATGAATCTCGATATCAAAAAACAAACGAAAACTGACTTCATTGAAATATGCTTAACTCATTTGATGTATAGTCTGTTTCAACAGAATTTAATGAAAAGACACCTAAGTTTTGTTAAAATAATTACAGAAACACTTTCTAGTAAATAACAGATGGAAACATTTAATAATTTAACTGATATTGATTTGATTTTTTTTTTATTGAAAATCTTACTGTCTTATGGTGGGGTCAATTGTTCGTTTTATTCATTGTTGATTATTCGAGATTCTCGTATATGCAGTATGATATAAGCTATGAGTTGAATTCATTATAGAAATAGACAAAAGCTAATAGTGATTTTCTGAGAGGATGGGATACAATACGAATAAAAATATACTTACAGTAATAACAGCAAGGTCATTGGCATGAGACGGTTCTATTAAATGTTGCGGATGCGTTGTGTAATTCAATATATTCCTTACTCTATCGTTTAATGTATCATTTGATAGAAAAGCTGAGCCTGCGAATACTCTAAATTCACTTACTATAATAGGTATTACTTGTCTGAAAAAAAAACGATTATGCAACTATAGCGTTATTTAAAAAAAAATACATTATGTATTTTTTGTAAATAAAATAGTTTTATTTAATAAAATAATTTTAATTAATAAAATAAAAGAACTTTTAATAATATTATAAAGTAATAAAGAAAACTTTTTTTAGATTTAGTTTATAATAATAAAATGTGAAAGTGATCTTGATTTATTTGTTTCTTGGCTTATTAACATTTCAACTAATCGTTTTTATTTTGACGTACATGCAGATAGGTTATCTTTTTTATCACGGTCAATCAATATGAGCAGGTCATCCGAAGTCCCAAATACAGTTAGTAAGTAATAATTCTACTTGATAATACAAAGCTATGAAAAGGACGGAATTAAAATATTTATTTACACGCTTTTATAAATTCACTTTTAATATAGATATTAGGTTATAACAAAAATGTACGCAGGCGGACTTATCCCTTAAAGGGATTTCTTCTAGTCAACATTAAGAACCCGAAAAGAAAAAGTATCTATAGTGTTTGTACATAAAGCATAACATATGGTGCAAAAATAATATGGTAAATAATATATTAGTTGCTACATAGTAAAAGAGTATTGATAAATAAAATATATATATATATATATATATATATATATATATATATATATATATATATATATATATAAACGTAGAATAACTATTAAATATATAAGTAACTCAACAGTCAATTGTTCAACAAAAAGAATTTTGTTTGAGCTTTGAAAGCATGAACGGTCTGCGCCTTTCTGGTATCATTTGCGAGGGAATTCCAAAGTCCAGCAACAATATTAAAAATATATTTAAAGTAAAAATATTTGAAATATATTTCGGTCTTATAATATTATTTAAAATATTTTTACTTTGCTCCGTTGTTTTTATTATTTTATACACGCGACCAATTTCCATAGTACGTATATACTCGTTTGAAGCTCTACCAAGAAATCACAATGCAACACAAACATTAAATGATAAAAACTTTGTCCGCATCCCGCGGCTTCACTTACGTGAATGTATAAAGTATCTTTTGTTATTAATCAGGATATATTCTATCCGTGTACCAAATTTCATTCAAATCAATTTAGTAGTTTTTGCGTTAAAGAGTAACAAATATTCATCCAAATATTCCCACCAATTTTCTCATTTATAATAGTAGTAAGATCTTCAAAAAGAGAGCATTCCTTCTTAAAAGGCCGGCAACACACCTGCAATTCTTCTAATGTTGAAGGTGCCCATCGGCGGTAGTAATGACTCACCATTAGGTGAGCCGGATTCCCTTCTACCCTCATATAGTAAAATAAAATACTTACTTATTAGCGTAATTGATACTATATGTGCAACTGGCGGCTGTCAATACATGCCGGTGAGTAATCAATACGCCACCACACGTATGCCCATGTCCTGGGTTTGAAACATCACTAATACGTTGAATTGAAACCTGTAAACATAAGTTATGTTGTTACTATAGACAAGTAGTGTCAAAATAAAAATGCACTGGAAGGAAGGCGATTGTTAGTAATGGAAAAAAGTGTTTCCAGCGCTAATATCATACTATGTCCAGTGAATCTTGACGCGCCCTTGGTAACATCTTGATTAATTCACTTGTTTCATCTTCATCTATCATTCCTCACTGCTGTCCTGATAGCATATACTAATAACATAAATTATGTTATTATTTCATTTTCATTTCAATAAAATAATAATAATAAATCATAAAACAATGTCGTAATATTAAAAAAGAAAGGTTTTCTTTTTTTATGTGTTTACGTTATGGCAATCCACACGAATGCTACATAAGTTATTTCTTTGTAAGTTTACAAATTTATTTATTTCTAAATAATTACCATTTATTTTCTTATTTTCTAACATATTATATATATATATGTTATATATATAATAAATAAATAATGTATTGAATCAATTAATGTAGTACCTAATTAGATTTCTATTCCAACAATTGATTTTCCAAAAAGTCTATATAAAGATTATTTCTATGCATTTATTATCATTATTTTCTATTACCTAAGAGTGAGTTGGTACACAACATTGTATTTATATTTTATTAAGCTATCACTATCAGTTTAATCAATAGATATTTGGACTATTTTGTTACAGTGACAATTTAAAAGAAAATAAACTTTTAAATATATTAATATATAATAATGCACTAAAATATAATAATAATATACTTGACAATGATATAGTAAAAAAAACTGTACCTAATCAAATGTAATCTTAAATTCTTAACACTTATCTAAATGACACTGAATATTTATTACTATGCAAAATAACAGGAATTATGATCATTACCCAATTCATGACTCAATACGTAATTCTTACTTCTATATTTTATATTATGAAGCCTGTGACACACACGATATTCGTTCACGTTAATCTTAGAGCCCGTTCGACCAATTTTAATAAAAATTTGTAAATGCGTATTCTTTGCTCCATCTTGAGAAAAAGGATAGTTTTTATCCTGATATGAAAAATTGCACCCAGTAGATGGCGCTACACGAATGGGACAGAGGTAGCCAAGCAAACGACTTTTGTACAAAGTCTCCCTCTGGTAATATTATAAATGTGAAAGTGATTTTTTTTGTTACCTTACAGCGTCTTAATAGCTTAACTATGATACTTTACTATGATATTTAGTATAGCCGTACTATACGAGAAAGAGAAGGATATAAGCTATTTTTTATTCCGACCAGTAAACATATTTCGATCACACTAACGATTTCGCAAATAAAAATTAATCTATAATGAACTAAAAAAAAATAAGACAAAAAAAAAATTACCGCATATGGAAACTGAAGATTTGTGGCGTTTTGTCCATTTATAATTCTTTCCGATGCAGATTTAGTTAGAGTCAGATCTAATGGGCCTGCATATGAACCTGTAAAAAATATAAGCATATTTTTTAAAATCATAACTTCAGTCCCCTATAAATTAGTGGATAGCAGCGCCGTGAAATTTAAATAATGAGTGGCTATTATTGCCAAATTAAAAGGTTCTTGAGAGGCAACCGCATACGGGTATATGCAGTGTAGGACGACCCACCTATAACTAGATGGAGTGACTTTCTGAAATGCATTGCAGGGAGTCAGTGGATGCAGGTCGGTCAGGACCGTTCTTTATGGCAATGTATGGGGGAAACTTATGTCAAGCCGTGGACGGATAATGGCTGAAATGATAATGATTATTATTGGCAATAAAGAAAAAGAGTATAATATATCTACTTATTTTATATGCTGATTGTTCTAAAGTGCCTATAAACTGAAATTTTGCAACTTAAACTTACTAATAATTTTTTTATTTATGCATTTTATATGCATAATTATATATAATTATATATATATATATATATATATATATATATATATATATATATATATATACATATATATATTTTTTCATACAGTCATTATGTCAATATTAAAAATAATAAATCTTGTTAGAATCTCGTAAGTTATTTCCATTATAATAACTATAACCTAAGTAACACTATAAATGTAAAAGTGAGTTTATTTGTTTATTTGTTACCTCGTTTGTGTGACTGCTTGTGAAATTTGGTATATTCGTAGTTGCGTATAATTTGGGAAGAAGGATACAGGCTATTTAATATCGAAACCGCTAAATATTTGTATATACATATATATATATATATATATATATATATGGCATTATCATTTAATAAACATTCTTAGCATGCTATTTTAAAATAACTATACTATTAGTGTATATATAAATATTAAATACGTTATTATATATTATCATTACAATATCATATATTAAACATATGTTTGATATCAATAATACAAAAATATAGATAATTGGGAAAGTTGATTATATATCATATATACCTAATTAAATATTTACCATAAATTCTTGGAAATGAATTATTTACAATACGTAAGGTGTTGCCGTCTGGTCCCAGTATAGAATGGGTCATTCCTTTCTGTCCCGTGGGTATCGTAAGAGCCGATTAAGTGACTAAGCGTCTCTCGTAAAACATTATCAAAACCAAAACTGCGGTTGCCAACCCGCCTGTCAAGCGTGGTAACAATTGGCAACACTCGCTTATGGGGCAGACCTATGTCCAGCAATACGGCTGATATAATAGTAAATAAGTTTCTATAATCTTTTGCTTTAAAACAGTATTTAAATAGGGAAATAATATAATTGCCTATATTAATCATTTATGTATGTAGTTATATTTTTCCTTATTAAATAGAGTATATAGAGATATATAAAGAGTATATAGTATTTTCCTTGTTAAATAGAGAATAATAAATGCAATTTAATATGAATGTATGCATAAAAGTAATACGTAGAGTGATTAATTGGTCTATATATCAACTTCTAAAGTCCACATATACGAAGTCGGGGGCTACAACTAATGTCAATATAAAAGTGCTTTTGTAAAATCTTATAATTAATATGGTAATGGTATGTAAAAGTTATTTTCAGTCATTTATCGTCCACTGTTGAACATAGGTTCCAACTATGGACTGCCATGTGAAATGGTTGGTTTTAAACCACTTGTATTCATCGACTTTCTAACACACATTTCGTTAAGGATTTTCTAGTATATTATTATTCTTATAACCATATAGTTTACGCGGACCGCGTTAACTGCGCGAGTATAGGATCGAGTATGATACATGATATTAAAAACTCATAAAATAATAAACTCATAAATTCGCTGCCGATTAAATGCCGTTAGACGAATTAATGTCAAAAGTTCATCACTTAATCTAGTAGTGTGTCGTTTTACATTACGTTTTCCTTTAATGTAGATGGTTGTTAAACTACGAACTTTCTTCTAATCCATTATCAGTTATTCAGGTCCGCCTTTTGTCACTTCAGCAACGAGATCGGTCGCTTATTACACAGAAAAACCACAAGTGATGACTTCGCTGAGTAATTTAAAGCTTTCTCATAATGCTACAAGTATATTCCTATTCCATAGAAATAGAATATAGTTATTACTAGTAACACGGATAGGTTAAAGACTTTCATTATATTTTGGATGAAAACGTTTCGCAATTTTTCGAATACCATACAACTAAATTGGATTCATTGATTGATTTCTCAGTCCAATTTTCATGTTTTGTTCATAATTGTTCATAAATGGTTTTTATGTAACCCTGAATGTAAAACAAACAGATGAAGGAAAGTAACAAGTTGTCTAAGTTATAGATATGTCACAGGTACTTATGGGCATCCATATAAAATTGTAATCTAAGAGTTAAATAAATATTAATTTATTGTATTAACTTACAAATAAAAACTAACGGCAGTATATATAAAATTTTTCCCATTGTGACTACACTCACGCACTCTCGCTTTACGAACTACAATATACAAATATAACTAACCGCTTATTAGTATGTCGATAATATATACAACAGTAAAGTATTTTATCTATGTGAGTCACTACTGATATATCTATATTTATCATTTTTATCAGTTATCTAAAGTTATACCTTGTTAACAATATCTATTGCTCTGAATAGAAATTAAAGAAATAAACATTGCAATGAATTATATTCGGGTCATGAACTAGTCGAGTGATCTTTCATTTCGTGGATACAGTAAAAAGTTACATAAAGTTATTGACTTTGTATTAAGACTAACGTTCGGTCCCGGCTTCTTACGGGCTGACACAATTTTTAAAAACCATATAATAGCATATGATAGTCTAGCTTTCTATAGGCAAAAAAAAATATTGAACAGTTTTTGGGTTATTCATTACAAACAAACAATCGAATCTTTACATATATACATTTATATTTACGTATAGATAGTTACTTTTATCTTCATGAAATCAAATCATTTTTGTCCATTTAGTATGAGTTTACTAAATTTTTATTATTTAATTATTTTATTTATATTAAGCTTTTATTATTTTGCCCCTTTATGCCAGCTACCAAATCCACTTTTTCTCATCGTAAAATCTATTCTAATCATCATTCAAGTTGGAGCAAAAAATACACATAGTTACACAAAAATTCCTTAAAATCGGTTGAGCAATTTTGGAGATTAGCGTAATAATATTAAGATAAGGAGGTAAGGATTACGCATTGAGTCACAAATTAAGTATTGATAATAAATCCTTTTATTTTGCATATTGCACAAATTTTAATCATAAAAATAGCAAAACAATTGATGGCATAATTTGGAGGGTAAATAAAGTCGAAATCTGATAAGCCACATAAGAAATGAGGTGGACATCAAAGCACAATAATTTTACACGATTCCCACAATTAAAACAAATATAACTTAATGATATTTATAAGTATTAAAATTCATTAAACAGTTCAAACTATACATTTTACCACAGCTCTGGATATACATATGTTTAAACTCATTGCTCTTCTTTATTATCAGTCGGTCTTGTATCCATAACAAAGTGAATTATCTGTTAGAGAACAAATTATTGTATTACTAGCGACCCGCCCCGGCTTCACACGGGTGCATCACATCACATTAGAAACCTTTAAAATTATCAGTGTTTCTCTACTATATTATGCATATATTATACATATAAACTTTTATCTTGAATCACTCTATCTATTAAAAAAAAACTCGCTTCAAAATCCGTTGCGTAGTTTTAAAGATTTAAGCATACATAGGGACGGACAGACAGCGACAGCGACTTTGTTTTATACTATGTAGTGATAAACGGCGTGACCTTATCATAACGTACATTTGCCCAGTGTCTGATTATTTCAAGTTCAACTTTCAAATTGTTTAAATAATATTACAGTTATACAAATAATTTTACGAACTTTCCCACATACATACATTCAAATTACACTCTATATACAGCGAGCACATTTTTTTCACAATTTTTATTACTACTAATAGCTATAATTAGATGAATTAACTAAAATGAGGGTTGAGCGCTGTTGTCTGAGATACAGGTTTTATAACCTAGTTCAGACACAGATGTTTAAGTTGATCTAAATGTACAAATGAATTCGTACCTACTTTTACTGTAATTTCCAGTGCTAAGTTTGTTACAATCATGGTTATGCAATAAAGTTATTATTATTATTATTATTTAAAATACTTCAAAATTCTGTTCAAATTAAAATCTTGACATTTTAACATTACCTGTACACCATATAATTTAGATAATCCAGATGCAATGTAATAATTATGGTTAGATACAATATAATTAGTCATCCGTACGTCTGTTATCTTGAAAATTAATTTCATTTTTACATTTTTAGGTAATAATAAACAAATAGGTATTTTCTATGGTTTTGCTGAGTAACTATGATCTAGATTTTTATGGTCATCAAAGTTGACATTGAGCGAATATAGTATTACCATGTGCTACGGTAGCAAATCGATTGCTAAAAGGCTGTCTTAAGGATTATATAACTTACCAGAGGGAGACTTTGTACAAAAGTCATTTGCTTGGGCACGTCTGTCCTATTCGTGTTTCTATCGTGAAGCAGTTATGTTTCCATGGTTGCGTTTCGGTTTGAAGGGTGGGATATGGCAGTGAATTTACAGGATATAGAGGAATAACACCTGAGTCCTCAGGAATAGCAACATATGGAGGGTGTCATAGGCGAAACCGTATACTCGGTTATATCCATGATACAGCTCATGTCTATAGGCGATGATTACCACCTTCAATCAGATGGGCAGTCAGCTTGTTTGTTATTGTAAGTTGCACATATAAAAAATTATAAATACACATATATTGTATATTTAAAATACCAATTTTAACCGAAATACATGATAAAATATATGTACCTGTTTGTAACTTTACGATATCGCAACGTCGCCACATAAACGTAAACACAATAATAAACAGGGGTATTTGAGTCGTTTCAGCTGGCTTCATATACCATTGAGCGGGTAATCTGCGCTAATGAGAATGTTAATGTGTTACCCCCATCAGCTTCGGTTTCGTAAACACCCGAGCTGTTCGAATTACGCGACCCATTATTAATTGTGAATTTATAAATTACGTACACCAATTCAAACTGATTTAATTTTAATATATCTAATTAGAGAACTTTTGGCTTGTTGTTGTTTTAGTCGTTCATTATTTAGTATGAAACAGATCTCAATTTCTCATATAAATAATCTCGACTTGCGTCTTAAATATCAAATACGTAAATTATTTATTTGGGTCATTATATAAATGAAGATTTCTTAGATAACAAAACTGATAATTTTTGAGAATATTAATAAATATATATGAGCAGAAAAAAATATTTTAATGACAAAGGAATAGAGAAATAATCATTTTTGATATTTATATAGCAACAGCGAAAAGTGAGATTTGTCCTTTCTGAGTTAATACCGCTGATTTAGCAAGCAGTCTTATTGCAGTTAACTTAAATACATCAAAATTCTATGTTTAGTCCATAGGTAGATGAAACATTGAATCTGTGGACTAAAAATATACCTTTATTTGTCATTTGATCACAGAATTGAGTAATAAATAAATAGAAAAAGTGTTTTATAATGACGATTGCTTTGAATGAATGAAAACTCTATATTGTACCCTTCAAAAAATTATACAGATTATAAAGATTAACAATACGCATACAAACAAAATGAATAATTAATAACATAAACTTAATTACATAAAAGCAGAACAATGGACGGCCTTATCGCTAAATAGCGATCTCTTCCAGGCAACTTTAGGATGGAGAGGAATAACTAAAATTGTGTCTGGTCAAGGCATAACAGGAAAATAATTAAAGATTAAAAAATGGAGAAAAAAGAGTAAGAGATAAATTTAAACAATTAGTCTATGGTTTATTTCTAGTATTAACATGAGTCTGTCTTTAATAATAAGATAGTGGGTATCTTTTGTTAGACCACTTAGAAATATCAAAACATTATATGCCTATTTGTTTTGTGAAGGCAGATTACGATTAAACTAACGGTAGTTAGTCATAATTCTACGAGTTGAGTCACAATAGATATTAATATGAACATAACAGGTAAAACCATTTATGAATATTGTGTTTAATGACTAAAATTCTTAAAAACTATTATAAATATATGCGTCAATGATTCGAACATTACGCATTAATCAATGTTGATTCAGTCTTCATCAGTAATTCAGAAGTTATCACTGATTGAATAATCATCAATTATTCATGTTAAAACAAGTAAAATGAATAAAATATCATTTTGTCTTACTAAGTTCAAAGTTGAAATGACAACAAGCGTTGAAGTTAAAATTAGACTTGTGGACGAAATAAGAATTTTTCCAGTAACACGATAATTCAATTGTTCTTTAGTAGTTTATTAATTTTTATTTAAAAATACAAAAAATATTAGAATTTAATCAAATTATACATACTTTATATAGGCATTTTTTATATTTTTGCCAAAGACGCTGGCAAATGTTAGTTTCTACATAGATATGTACAACTCTATGAACACCACACAATGCAATATCATGGGGTACTATTATAATTTTTAACAATACCCCGTGGTTTTACAGTTACGATATTAAAAGTAAATAAAAATATTATAAGATTACTGAATAGATACAACATCGAAATTTTCAATAGCATAATTCGTCTTAAGAGGTCAGTAGCATACATGCTTTCCATCTGGTGTACTACGAGTAGCGTAAACACTATTATTAGTGTATGCTTGCGCAATTACTTTTGACTCAATAAATATTGGAATATAGTTTTCATATTATAATAATATTTATATATCACCTTCGCTTTTATACATATTGCTTTTGTATTAGCGTAAAAGAGGATAAGCTTAACACTGTCGCCTGGATTTATATAGCGTTGACAGCTCAGTCGAGGAATGCTTCACTGCGGTTTGAAATCTCAAGATAGAACCCCAGCCTAAAAACGTATTCAAAATCATTTTTATATTAACTGAAATAAAATGCATGTCACTTTGTCTTTTGCGTGGAAGGTATGTAGGTAAGATTTAATACACCTCTTACACACCATGAATATTCAAATTTAGCAATTGATAATTTCTATTCTTGTAATTATACTTTTTGTGTACCTTTGTATTTTATTATCAAAATTAAGAATTACTAGTTAAATTTAATTAAATAATGGCCTTATGCTAAAGGTATCCATGTGTTTATCTAAGATGTCTATCTGTTTATCAAGTTTTATTTGAATCCGTTCAGCCGTTTAAGCATGACTCAGTAACAAATATCCGAACATCTTTACAAACTTGAATGAATGAAAATTTATAGTATACCTATCTTATATACCCGCCTTGGAGCTTCGAGTAGAGTTATAACATCTCATTGGACTTTTTGTTACACATTCGTATGCTGATATCGGGCCCGTAATAAAAATAAATGGGATCCTGCCTGATCTAAATATTAGGATACAAATTCAAGCAAAGCAAATAGATCTTTTTA